AGAATTTTGCCAGTTCTTGGAAATGACGTCAAATTCCTAGAATTTCCGAAATTCTTGGAAATGACGTCAAATTCCTGGAATTATCGAAATTTATGAACGTACGAAAATTTTTGTCAGAATTTCGACTTTGTATTAGGAGAACATGAGTTGATAGGAGGTCGCTCGAGAAATTTTTCCAGGACTTTTGGCAGTTCTTGGAAATGACGTCAAATTCCTAGAATTTCCGAAATTCTTGGAAATGACGTCATATTCCTGGAATTATCGAAATTTATGAACGTACGAAAATTTTTGTCAAAATTTCGACTTTGTATTAGGAGAACATGAGTTGATAGGAGGTCGCTCGAGAAATTTTTCCAGGACTTTTGGCAGTTCTTGGAAATGACGTCAAATTCCTAGAATTTCCGAAATTCTTAGAAATGACGTCATATTCCTGGAATTATCGAAATTCTTGCCCGAAAAAAGTTTTGCCCAATTTTTCGACTTTGTATTAGGAGAACATGAGTTGATAGGAGGTCGCTCGAGAATTTTTTCCAGGAATTTTGGCAGTTCTTGGAAATGACGTCAAATTCCTAGAATTTCCGAAATTCTTAGAAATGACGTCATATTCCTGGAATTATCGAAATTCTTGCACGAAAAAAGTTTTGCCCAATTTTTCGACTTTGTATTAGGAGAACATGAGTTGATAGGAGGTCGCTCGAGAAATTTTTCCAGGAATTTTGTCAGTTCTTGGAAATGACGTCAAATTCTTAGAATTTCGGAAATTCTTGGAATTATAATTTACTTACCTTCCATACTTACCTTCCATACTTACTTTCCATACTTAGCTTCCATACTTACCTTATAGATTTGCCTGTTTATTCTTGTAGTATTAAACATTTTTTGACAGTTTACTTAATTCTAATGAGAAATATGTGTGGTAAAATGTTATAAACAAAATCTCGTTTGTTTTTTATAATATGAAAAACTGTTTTAGATAAAAATTGAATGATTTCGAGAGGAGTATATTCTGGTCTCATTAATATTTTTTTATATGGACGCGTATAAAACTTACGACGATCAATTTCATTTTTTTATATAGAATGATATATTTTTTAATACAATAGTAAATGCAATTCTGCATTCTCTATAAAAACGTATTAACCATTTAAGTTGAAAAACGATTAATTCGAAGATATTAAAATATCTCCTAAACTAATGGTTATTTTCTAGAAATGGTTTAATACTTTTTTATAGAGAATAATATACTGCATCTATGCATGTATCAAAAAGTACAGAGTTCTATTTAAAAAATATATATTAGATTCGTATCAAGTCTACGCGTCCGTCTACGAAAACATAAATGATATCAAAATATACTCTATTTGAAACCATTCAACTTTTGTATAAAACATTTTTAAATATTACGAAAAATGAACGAGATATTTTGGATATAATGTTATGGGAGACAGCCAATTGTTTTATGAAATAGACGTACGACGTATCAAAATGCGTAATAACTCGCATAAAGCATTAGAAACACATATTTTTTTCTTCGAGGTCGGTATTTCACGACACAGAACACGAAGTCTAATAAAATATCGTTTCTACCCTACACTTTATCCATGCTTTAATCGATAGAAAGTTTCTAACAAAAAAAAAAAGTTTCCCTATAACTGGAACGTTTTTGAATAAATAAAACGCTTGAACTTAGACGTTTCGCACACAACTCGTAGCGAAACTTCATTCTTTTCCGAGCCTAGTTTCCATGAAGCAACGTTTAATCAACCGAACGAGCGAAAACGTAAACGTAAAAATTTCAATCGAGAAGGGATGAAAGATTCCGACCTGGATTCGTCCAATTGAATCGGGAATCGCTTAATGCAAACGGATTTAGAGATTCCTCCTTTTGTCAAAGACCAAAGGAATCGGATAACGCGCGTGCATTTCTAATAAAACGCGACCAAAGGATAACGTGTGTAACGTAAACAACGCATCGAAGTGGCTTGGAAAAAAAAAAAAAGAAAAAAGGGATATTTCCAAAACCTCTCGAGGGAGAAAAGAGGGGGGGAAAAAAAAAGAAAAAAAACGGAAGAAGGAAGACGCAAAAGAAATACTTTATTGTTGGAAACTGGTCGTAAACCGTAAGGGGGTGAACGAGGGCGAAACGTTGGATCGATTTATCGGCGTCGGTTTACATAAGAAAAGTGCTTTATGCGCTGTTTAACAAAGTCGGTGAAGCTCGTCATGAAAGGATGGACCGTGCGTGGAGGAGAGAAAGAGAGAGAGGGTGGGGGGATATATCCATCCATCTATCCTCTTTTGAAACGCGGTCTACGTCACCCGAGGGATGCAGGCGACGGTTCTTGCACGTGCGGATTCATAAAACATTCATTCGGGTCGTTTCGCGCGGCGTAACGGCCTCGGAGACAACTTTCATCCCCCGTACTCTCGGATGACAATACGAAGAAATTGAATGTACAACGTAGAAAAACTGGTTTTTTCTCCCCCCGCTCCCCTCCCGCTAGCCCGCGACCGCGTGCCGGATCCGGTGACACCGGGGATGGGG